CCCATCCTGTGCCCTGCTAAACCAAATCCAGGGGCAGGTGGAAGGGGAGAAGGGCAGGGCAAGCGCTTTCTTTTTACCTGTTTGTTTTCCCCTGCCTGTTTCAGAGGATAAAACCCAAAAAAAAGATCATTTGTAGGCCTGGAATGATCTGGAATGAGATGCTGGAGTGGTGGGGAGGAGAGAGGTCAGCAGAGATGCTGGAAAGAAGATGATTTCCAATGGCATACAAGTGCACAGACCAGTAGATTGGAGAAGAAATAAAAAAAATTAAGCCATCCTTAAAAGCTAAAAAAACCCTTTTCTGCAGCCCCTGCCAATGCCTGGTGTGCTCACCCTGCCCCAGGCATCCTGGCAGCTGGGCACGGAGCTGCAGCACACTGGGGTGGGATAGATACAGCTAAGGGCACAGGGAGCAGGGTCTTTGATCCCCATGACCTCCCTTGCTGCCATTCACCATGGGACAAAACCAACATCACCTTCATCACCAAGAAAACCTCTCCTCGGTGCCCCAAAATGGTGCAGGGGCACCACACTGCACCATGGAGCAGGGAAAAGGCAGGCAAGGGCACAGCCAGAGACCAAAAATTCCCAGCTCTCAATACAAGCAACAATTTCATTAGGAAAATGTGACAATTCCCTTGTTTTAAGTGATAGCAAATTATTCTACCACTAATTGCAAAATGTTCGCAATTATTTAAAAAATCACTTTATAAATCACATTGTTTCCAATCTTCTGTGATGGATAAGTAGAGGGAATCAATAATTATCACCAGGGCTGCTCGGCAGGAGGGGAGGATAACAGGGGAACCAGCATGGAGCTGCTCACTCCTCAACATTCAAGGTCGGGCCTGCCCCTCCCGCTGCTCCTTTCCCGATTCATTCCTCACCACAAAAGGCAGAAGGGAAGGACAAACACGGCAAGGAGGCAGAGAAATCTAAGGGATGAAGGAGATCAGGACAAACCCACACAGAGCTTTGGCAAAGGCTGGGCAGAGCCCAGCACATGGGTCAGCAGGTGAGGAAGGATGGGGGACCTGGCTGGAGATGGGATAGGGGAGCGGCTGCTGTGTGCAAAGCCAGGGATGCCTGGAAGCAAAGCTGCTCCATGAGCAGCCTTTGCACTGCAGGCAATGCAGCCCAGCTTTGCTCTTGTTTTGTGGGGTTTATTTTGATTTTTTCCCCCTGCCAGGTCAGATTTCCAGCTGCTGTAGCAGACAGGCCAGCAGCGGCAGATCGGAGGCTCCTGAACCCGCCAGCACAGGAATTTGCCAGGAGGGGAAAACTGAAAGTGAGACAAGGCCAGGAAGCAGCAGGACTGCTCTCTCACCCCTTCTTCCTGAGTTTATAAATACAACATAGAAATTCAGCACAAAGCTTGTTCACTCCCAGACTTTTTCCTTCTTCGTACACCCGAGTTAGTGCCTGGCACTGGGAAGGTCAGAGATAAAGCCAGCATGATTCCAGTGAGTGCCCAGTCCTCAAACCCAAAAAGGATGAAAGCCAAGAGACCCAGCAGCCAACATTCTAGTGAGGGGTTCCTTTGCCACCATCAGGTTTCAAACACCAGGAGAGAAAGGGTTTAACAATCTCCATTGGGGAGAAAAAGCAAAATCCACCCAACCTGCTCATCCAAGGTTTCCCCACCTCCCAGTGATCCCAGCTGGCACTTCCCTCCCACCTCTTCCCCAGCACCGTGATGCATTGCCCCTTGACCACACAAGGAAGCCATAAAGCAGGGCTGAGGGATGGGGCAGAGCAAGACAAATGGATTTAATATCAGCCCGAGGAGAGCGTGGGCTCTCCTGCACACCAAATGAATTATTCATTTGGGATTCAGGCAGAGCCTCCATCTCACACTGCCCCGCCGCCCCCACGGGCACAGCGTGTCCAAGAGGATGGGCTGGGCAGTCCACTGGGTTTTGGCACGCAGCTGAGAGCTGTGCCAGGGAGCCTGTGCCAATCCAGCCTGGGATGGGAACAAATAATGGGGCTGATCCACAAAGACAATTCCCCTCTCTCCCACGCCCACCCTGGCTCAGTGGTGGCAGCAGCCCCCCATCCCTCTGACCCCAAAACACGAGGATAATCTCCTCAGGGCTCTGAGTACCCCCAACGAAGATGTGACGTTGTGCCCGTGCTTCCCTCAAGCTGTAAGTGCCGCTAAAAGCTGGGATTAATGAATCCCTGAGTGTTCCAAGCTCCACTGTCAGCCCCAACCTGCTCCAGCCTAATGGCCCCATGACAGGCACAGCCTCCTCCTTCCCAGGGGAGTGAGGATGAGACAGAGCTGGGAGAGCTAAACAATTCAACCCTATCTTTTTCCCCACCACGCAGGAATTAAGCCTATTTCTTCAGCCTTCAAATACTGAGGGATTTTCTTTTTTGTTTTTTTTTTCCTTGGTGACAATTCCCACAGGCTCATTAAGTGTCTGGTCTCAGGCTGATGAAGGCTTGGAGCAGATGTCAGGAGTATGTGCTTCCCAGGAGCCAGGGCACAATCCCGGCAGCTTCCCTGCCAGGCACACCAGGCAGATGAATACAACCCCTTCTGAGAAAACAAAGTCAAATAGAAAAGCAAGGAATTTTTATTTCTAAACTTTGCAATGTGCCACCTCCCGCCCACCAACCTTCATGAGGGGCAGCAGTGGGCTTGGGTCTTCCCTTGCCTGCTCCAAGGCCCATGTGGCTACAAGGAGGAGCTTAATGGCCAATGAACTACCACAGAGCTAGAGTCCAACCCAAGGTCAGATTTTCAAGATTCAAACACAGTTAATTTTCCAAGATTCAAGATGTTAACCCTGGATCAAGCTTTTAGGAGGGGTTTTAGTGAACTTCCAGGGGATGAGGGATATACAGGATTTGGGTTCCTCAGCAGCATTGAGCAGGGCTGTCAGACACACAGGTGTCATTCAATCCCAGCCTTTTCTCTGTCCTCCTGATATAGGAACTGGAAAACACTTGGAGCTCTCCTCCACAGACAGCATCTCACCAGCACCCATGGAATCATCAAACAGCACATTCCTGTCATCACAGACGTGCTTGGCGCCTTTTAACACCTGCTTGCCCTGCACCCACAGCATATTCTGGTGCCTTTCAGGATCCTACATGCTGCCAGTCAATCTACAAAGGATATTCCTACTCCTTGGAGCTGCCAGTATCCCTTAATCTTCGCCTCAAGGAGTCTGAATACAAAGCAAGCTCCCCATGCAAAGGCAAAATGCTCACCAGGAGCTGAGGAGTTTCTCCTTGGAGGCTCAGCAGTTTCTCCTTGGAGATGAGTGCTGAGGAGTGGGAGCACAGCTGGAGACAGGCACCAGGGCACGGAAAACCCAACAAATCCCCAATCTCCTGGGGTCTGCTTGATGTAGCTTTGATGGCATGAACACTTCACATCCCTGGTGGAGTTTGCACAAGGAAAGGAAATAAGCAAAGCCATGGAGATGGGCCTAACACCCAACCTTGGCAGGTTTGCTCCCATGCTTCTTGTCCTGATGCTGTCAATCCTCTGCCCTTCCCCAAGCATGAGAAGGTGCATCACGGTCCTCCCAGGGGTCAGGAGCACTCAAGACCCCACCTTCCTCCAGCTGGCAGAAAGGTCAACACCACCAAAACCCACGGTTTTACATTGTCACTGTTTTCCTCCATTTCTGGCAGAGTGACATTACTTCCCAATTCTAGTGTTTAGCTAAAATTAGTATTTGTTTTCCCATGATGAGAAATGTCATTTTGCCATATAACCATGTGTGCTTTCTGTGTGTTGGTTCAATAGCAGAGGAATGTCTCGCCAGAAACGCTCTGTTTGCAGAGAGCCCTCCCTCTGACTGAGCACTTCGGCTCCTCGCAGGAATCTCCTGGTAGGAACAAAACCACCCTAAAGCTCAACCACAAAACTCATAGGAATCCCCCAGCCATGCTGTTTGAGAAAGGATTCTGGGGGTTTCCTGGTTGTTGCACCCCTGGCACAGGAAGGTGTCACCACCCCCACCTTGGCCAGGCAGGAATGAGGCTTTGCGTGGTGAAAACCTACACAAGTTCCCAGGTTTAGAGCAAACCATCAAACAAGCTTCTTCACAGCCTGAATCCCAGCTTTGCTATTTCCATATATCCGGAGTTACAGGTGGAGAAGAAACACCCTCAGGGACTCCCCAAGGAGCATCACATCCAAGCCTGGTGGCACAGACATTCCCCTGCCTGCATCAAAGGAGATCCAAGCTGGACCTCTTCCCATCACAGCCTGCCAAACCAGCCCTTAAGCACACTGACCTTCTCCTTCTTCCCAACCCTTCCTTGTCAGGAACCCTTCCTTGGAACCCAACCCTTCCTTGACCTTCTAGAAGCTATTTGGAACTCACAAAACAGGGTGAGCAAGAAGCCCTCTCCTCTCCCCTCCTTCCAAGCAGCATGCAAAACCTTAATTACAGAGAGGAGAAGGAAAGAGCGGCCAATAGAAAAAAAAATTACCAACAGTCCAATGGTATTTGGGAAATATTCACCACAAGGGCAAAAGGAGACAAAAATCAGTGAGCACTGTTTCCTTATTTATAACCTCACACTGCAGGACTCCAGCAGGCAGCAGCACGCTGGCAGCGTGGCTGGGGAACCCAAAAACCAGCACAACAATTCCAGTTAACACAGAGAATCAAGAGCAGCCCCACAGCAGCCAGGCCTGATAGCAGCTGCCCAGTTCTGCCAGGGAAATAAGGAGGCAGGTGGAAGAACCTGTCTGGCGAGTGCAGCACTTGGAAGGCAGCACATCACAGAGGTGACTTCCAGCAGGGTGGCAGCGGCACCAGCACTGCCACACTGCTCACCAGGTCTGGCCACTGACCAGAGCACACCGAGAAAACACAGGCTGACCATTGCTCCCAAATTCCTGCCTACTTCCTGGAGCAAAACCACATCAGCCGAAGTACTGCCTGCTGCACAAAACGGTCTGCTTGGGGACGAACGTTTTGCCCTAAAACAAACACAAGGGGCTTGTTGCCCAAAGCCAACCTTACCTTTGCAAGCCACGTTGTTCTCGGGCTCGTAGCCAGCCTTGCAGGTGCAGCGGCCGATGGGCACCATCCACTCGCCGTCGCCGTTGCAGTACAGCTTGATGGGCACGTCCACCTCCTCGGCGTTGGGGATGCAGGTGCCACGCGCCGTCACCAGAGAGGTGCTCTCCGCACCCGTCATCGTCTCCGGGAAGATGGCGAAGTTCTGCACCACGCTGGGGCACTTCTTGAAGAAGACCCTGACAGACAGCAGAGACATGCAAGCCCCGTAGTCCTGGAAAGCCAGGTAAAAGCCATTGCGGGTCAGGGGCCCGAAACTTCTCACTTCCGTGTTCACCTTCATCAGCCGGCCCCCAAAGTCCACCTGGGAGAAGCTCTCGTCAGCAGCGATGGTGTCCACTTTGAGGTAGGGTGCCTCTGTCCAGAAGGCAGACTTCTTGGTGGCAATGACAGAGTCTGTCTCGTAGTAGTAGAGGTTGAAGGTCTCCTTGCAGGAGCCAGGGACGTTGGGGAGGCTGCTGCAGTCCCGCACGGTGAAGCGCATCTCGGTGTAGATGCGGTGAGCCCCGCGCCGGTTGATGAAGGTGGTGAGGAGCCAGTTGTTCTGGTTGGGCTCGAAGACGTTGCACACCTGGTACGTACGGATGGTGTTGAGGTTCTCGTCGTAGCCACTGACTTCTTCCCACTGCAGAAAGGAGCAGGGAGAAGTGCTGAGAAGGAGGAAGAGGGAACAGCAATAGCCTGCACAGGGCAGGGCTGGGAGGACAATCCCAAAGCTCCAAAGGGGATGAGGAATGTGGTTATGGGCACATAATGTGATGTATATGCAGAAGGACCAACCAGGCCAGGACCAGAAGAAATCCCCATCCTCTTACCCCTCCACACCTCTCCCCATTGTTCCCAATTGATGTTAAAATGTCTTTTCCACATGGGCAACTGCCTTATCTGCCCTGAGAGGATGTAAAAAATGGGAAGAAAGATGGCCCAAGCATCTGGAGGCAGGAGAGAAGGCAGCACAGGAGGCTACAGCTTCATTAAAACCCAAGCCAGCATGTGGGTGGGAGAGTGAGCCTGACCCCAAGCTCTCGGCACAAGGGGATCATTTCCCCCAGCAAAGAATACCAACTAAATAAAACATTACTGCTGTGGAGAGAGGAAATATAGATTCGCAATTCGATTTATAGGAGGGCATTAATATAATCCAGGCTACAATTTCAATTAAGGGACAGCAGCAAACTGTGAATAGTCTATGATGACATTAGAGTCCTACAGACAGATTTACAACCTCATAATCCATTCATTTTAACTAATCCATGTTTACAGTCTCCTCATAACAGCATTATTCATATGGCAATCTTTAAGCAGCTCCCTCACTATCAGTGATAACTTCCAGGAGCAATGCTGCAGCAGCGTTCACGCCTGTGTTTACACAGGGCACAACAGGTGATGCCACCCTGCCCTGTCACACTGAGTCCTGACAAGCTGATGCACGACAACCAACCCTGCAACCTCACAGATTTTTTTCCCTCTTCCCTTTTAAATTGAACAACCACATTTCTCATCTTTTCCCCAAGCCTCCCTCCTGTGGACCACAGCCTTCATGTAACAAAACACAGGTTTTTGTTTTGTTTTCAAAGCAGGGTCCTCCTCACACTGCCAACAAATGCAGCAGAATATTCACTCCCAGGCCCACCTACTCAGCTTTGCTACACTTAAGTCAAGATCAGAACTCAAGGTTGCGCATTGTTGTTAAGCCACGGTTACCAAACCAGGAACAAAGCCTCCCTCATCCAGCCCAGTGTTCTTCCTTCTCATTCCATGCCAGGAAAGCACTGCAAAACCCCCTCTCTCCCCTGTGCACAAGGCATGGGGATTCAGCGCCCCTTCATAACCAGACACCTTTTCAGAGCAGGAGCTGTACAATGCTCCCCAACCAAGGGGGTTGCCATTGTTTGCTGTTCCCACCTGGGCTTTGCATTACAGCCCTGCCTCAAATTAAGGCCAGACAACAAGGTCTCCTCCAGCATTAACACCAGCCCATGGCTCCACTGTTTTCACTGCAGGAGTCCTCCTCTTCATCCTCATAAACCTCAGACCTTCAAAACTCAGCCTAAACCTGCCAACAAACTCCTCTGCATTTCAACGTTTCCTGCATTTAGGAATAACATGAAATGCCCTTGGAAAACCCTCAGTAGAGTCCAGGGCCAGATCCTGGCACTGCCTTGGCACCAGAGCAGTGGTGGAGTCCCCATTTCTAGAGCAATGTAAAAGCTATCCATACAGCTTTTGTGGCACTTGGGAACGTGGTTAGTGGTGGCCTTGGCAGTGCTGGGTTAATGGTTGGACTTGATGGTGTGAGAGGGTTTTTCCAACACAAAGGACTCTGTGATTCTATGATTTTAGATAAAAGACTTGGTATTTAAAATACTTTTTGGATGATTTAATACACACTCCTGCAAAGCAGAAGCCTCCCCAGGAACTCTCAGGAACACTCAGAGGAGTGAGAATTGGATGGCTGCAGGGAGGCACAGAGGGCTGGAGGGATGCACACAGTGAGATGCAGGGATGGGGCTGGGGAGGGGTTTTTCAGAGCTGCTCTGCAGAGGGTGAGACCACCATGCCTTACAGCACAAGCTCCCCGCCTGCCTCGCACAGGCTTTCATTGACAGCAGCTGCAGGCAGCTATTTATATCCTGTCTCCATCACCTGCACGTGCCCCTCCTGCATTTTTCCAGAAATTTATCCGGGCCTAGAATTTTTCCAAAGCAATTCAGTAGCAAAGTACCCCAATTTAAGGGGCTCTGACATGTCTGGAGTGGATTTCATGCCTGCTGCAGGTGCGGCCCAGCTTTGGTGATGGTGTGCAAAACAATTTCTTTTGAAGACTTGGCCAAGCCAGTGACACCCAATCAAAGATGCAGCCTGGCATCCTCTCCCCTCTGGTGCCACATTCCCAGGGATGGTCCCTGCTGCTGCTCCCAGCCTGCCTGTCCCACCGTGGTGCCCATCCATCAGCTCACATCCCCTCCCACCTGCAGCTTCATCTCTCACTTTTTCTGCCAGGAGAATGTGAGTCAGGTTATTTTATGCTTCCATTCCTCAAAGGCTCGTATTATATAAAAAAGATGTTTTAAGTGCCTCAGGGTGTTTGGTTCCTCATTACTTCATAAAAGTGACATTAATAGCCAAGGAAGAGCACTGCCGAGTGCAATTATGGATGATGTTCCAGGTATGAAAGCTGTTTGGAGCCTGCTAATGTTTCCTAATTATAAGCCTTTTGGCACAGGGAGAGGGAAGGCACGAGCAGGGGGATGGAGAGCAGTGATGGGGCTGAACCCTTCACGAGGAAGGAGGACAGGAAGGGAAAGAGAAAGCAAGGAGATGGAGACAAGCTCCATCTTCACCAAGGCCCAGGACCAGCTCAGGGAAGGATGCTCAGCCTGGCTCAGCCACACAGCGATGCCCTGGCACTCCACACCAGCCCTATGAGGTACTGCTGCTCCCACTGTGACTCCTCTGGCTTCCCACCAGGTTTTACCCCTATAAATAGTGGGGTTAAAAGCAAGGACATCTCCTAGATCACATAAGGGTCAGCTGGACAAGTGGAACTTACCCCTGAAGGTGGGTTGGCAGTCCAGCCCAGCTCGGCCGTTGCCGTCCGCGTATCCATTAAAGTTTCTGAGGAAACAGAAGAAAAGGAAAGTGAAGTAGTTATTCCCTAAGTTTTCCATTACTTTATGAGCACAGAGATGTGGGAAAACATTCAGTTGCTTTCCCAGAGCATGCACCTGACCCTTGGAGAGCTCAGGAATCAACAGCAGGTGCCCTAATGGACTCGAGGCAGTTTTGCTCTGGAGCAAATGGTGCAGGACAAGACTCTGCAAGGAGTCATGGCCTAAACCCAGCTCACACTGCCAGCTCTGACCCTTCCCTGCCCAGGAAAGAAAAATACTATCACCAACACAAAAAGGATGCTGTATTTCACAGAGTCGCATCATTCCCTACTTTTAGACTGTAAAAAAAAAACCAAAACAAAACAACAAAAAACAAGAATAATAGCAAGAGCAACACCATAAAGAAACAGATGGGGAAAACCCTCCAGGTTTTATTTATTTGTTTGCAGCAAGCAGACATGCAGATTAATTGCCTCAATTCCTGCATCCCGACCAAACACAAGGAGCTGTGCCGCTGGCAAACTGGCAGAGCTGAGCATCCCCAATCCCTCCCCTTTCCTGCCTGGGCCCAGGTACTCACAGCAGTGCCAGGAAAAGAGGTGCAACCAGAGAAATAAAGGTCAGGAAACAAAAATCAGCCCAGGAATCTGTGCTGCCGCCGGGCTGCTGCTTTTAATCTCTCCACGGCTGCTCCAGCAATCACAAGCGGGAAACAAGGCTCCGATTAATCTTCCAACCCCTCCCTTTGCCGGCGCTCCAGGATGCGAAGCTGGAGAAGCGTGACCAGGAACTCCCCACCCTGACACGAGTGATAAACGCTCCCAAAACCCCTCCCAGGGGGGAGCGTGGCCTCAGGGCAGGGGAGCAAGGCAATCCCCAGGCATGGGGTGAAAAGGGGCTGGGAGCTGGCAAAGCTTCTGCACCTCAAACAGGTCCCAAGATGCTGCAGTGGCGTTGCCAGGGGTGTTCAAAACCCACGGCCCCCCTGTTTTGCATGGAGCCAGGCTGTTCCTGCTCTCAGTGCCCTCGGAGAGGAGATGTTTCACTCCTGCACCACTTGGGAAACAGAAAAGTGTGGTGACCTTCACACTGTCACACATCACTTTAGAGTTTTGGTCATTTTCTATTTGGCAGGAGGCAGCTAAAAATGAAGTATCCCAGCTGCAGTTCCTCTCCAGCCTTGAATTATGGAATCCAGGAATTATTTGGGTTGGAAAGGACCTTAAAGTTTACTCAGTTCCACCCCTTGCCACGGGCAGAGACGTCTTCCACTATATCCCAGGTTGCTCCAAGCCCTGTCCAACCTGGTCTTGGACATTTCTAGGGATCCTGGGGCAGCCACAGCTTCTCTGGGAAGCTGTGCCAGGGCCTCACCTCCCTCACAGAGAAGGATTTCTTCCTAACAATCCATCTAACCCTGCCCTCTGGTAGTGGGAAGCCATTCCCCTTTGTTCTGTCGCTCCAGGCCCTTGTCAAAATGGGGCCAGGGGCTTGTGCTCCATGCCTCCAGCAAATTTCTACTCTCACCATCCTTCACCTTCCTACCACCTCCACACCTTCCTTCCCTTCCAAACAGCCCAGCCCCTAATTAAACAGCCATTAATCCTTGCAACAGCCCTTCAAATGAGCAGGAAGATGTGTACAGGCATAAATGCGTTTGGAGATGGAAACCACAGGCCATGCAAACATTTTCCAGTGCCCCTTGCAAGTGGGCTGCATTCAAGGGATGATCTGATAGCCCCTCAAACACTTGGTGTTCTCCCCCAAAACAAACAAGGTGTCCTTGTGCCACACAGGGGAAACTGAGGCAGCACAGAACAGGGAGACACGGGGACCACGGCCAGGATGGGAACCAAGCAGGCTCATCCACCCTCTGTAATACATAAGGACAGGCTCCACTACAGGAAGGGCACCTCTTCCAAAGGTTTATTCAGAAAGGCTTTTCACTCCATCATCTCCCTTCCTGTCCCACACACTCCCAGCTTCCTTCCCCGGGCGCTGACAGAGGAATGTGCTTTTGATAAAGCACGGCTGCCCTGTGGGACGGCAGCACGCGATGAGCAGCTCTGCTCCGAGATGATTCTCACCAGGACCCTTCCCAAAGTCTCACCCCTTCCCTCCTCCTGAGCTCCTCCCCACAGCCTCCACGTTCTGGAAGGAAAGCAGGAAGGCACAGCAGCAATATTGAAGAAGAGCTCAAAATAACTAAGCAAATAGAGAAATTAATTAACAATAAATGAATAAATGGAAAGAAACTGCAGAGAAGATTTCACTTTGGATGTTTCTGGAGTCCCTGGGTGATTCTGTGGCCTGTGACCAGGCAGGTCACATTCAAGAAGTTTCCACCACAGAATGCAGAGCTTGTGATGCAAAATGTGGAATATGAAGAATTTTCTTAAGAAAGGATGTTTCATAATGTTTGATCTTCGTAACTTTCAAGCCTAATCAACAAGAAAGGAGATTTAATCTGTGAAACAGCAACTCACAACTCTAAGTGTTGTCCAGGCACTGGGAAGAGAAATCCTTTTTTGGTAGAATTGCCTTGTTAAGGTCTGGGGCTCCACATGTTTCAATGATCCCAGTCCTAGGGGAGGTTGACAATGCTTGGGAAGAAGGATGTGTGTGATGTGCCACTGAGAGTGGGCACACAGAATGCAGAACTTAGAGGCCACAAGGCCATTTGGCAGAACCCCCAAAATAAGGAAGAAATTAATAAAGCCAACCCAGCAACTGTGCTGAAATCAGCCCTGACTGGGTAAAAGGTAATTCTGGCAGGAGCAGGTCATGACCAGCGACTCACAGACCATGACCTAAAAGAAGAGAAAGACTGATCATGGGGACTAATTAGCATGAGAAACAAGATAGTCATTAACCAACAGAATATAGAATATTAATTAATAAGAGAATATTGTAGCCAACAAATGCTAATTCTTTTGATTGCTAAAATGTATAAATAGTAAAAAGCTTTGACAGTTGGAGTGCTTGAACACCACCAAGCATCCAGGCTTGGGCAACTCTGAAATAAATAATCAATGTCTCTCTCAAGTGTGTAATTATTGGCTTGCTGCATACTGGATCCCATTTTTTTGAACAACATTTGCACTTTTGTGGCTCCATGTTTCCAAAGAAATTTGCAAAGCAAGGGAAAAAGAGGGCTGAGAGCCTGACCCCCCTATAGACCATCTCCTGCACAGATCCTGTCCTATCTCCCAAGGGCACTGCCATAGACAAGATCCATAAATTGGAAAAATGGTTAATTTGGGAGTTTTTTGTTAAATACAATAAGATGGTTAAATCCCCCTTTGAGTTCAAATTCCTGCTGAGCTCACCCAACCCTGTGACTGCAGAGGCAATGGCATCAGAAGGACATGGCTCAGCAACTTCCTATTGACCTCTCCTATTTCCTCTTGGAGGAAACCTTGGCTTTTACTTCATTTTCTGTGATGAAAAAGTGACCCTGTGACCTTGGTGGGGCACTTATGGCCAGGCTGCTTGGGGCTGTGGCTGCTGAGAACCCTCCTTCAACAGGAGAGGGTTCACAGATCTCAAATCCTTGCTGAGAAATGGGGAACAAGATCGAGATACCACCACCCACATCTGCAAAATATCCCTACAGGCTGGGGGACACAGGACCAACCCCCACCTATCCATCACTTGGGACTGGGCAAGGAGGACAGGCAGGGAACGCTGGTAATGAGGGGATTAGTGCAGATCAGTGCCAGAGCAGCCCTAATGAGTGGAGAAGCCACATGGACACCTTGCACCTCCCATCCCACCTGCCTCACCCTTCCATAAGGACCAGTCCTTGTTAATTGGCACAGGGTATTAATTAAACCCCCAGGGGAGCATCCTTTCCCTGCACCTCTGACATCAGCACAGCATTGTTGGCCAGGTGGAGTGAATCATGTCACCTGGATCAAGCAGTCCCACCATGCCAAGCTCAAGCTCCTGACACCCCTTTGCCTGCCCCAGGCTCGCTTCTCCAGCATCTCCCTCCACACCTGCCCACTTGCACATGGGCACAGTGGGTCCCTAGGGATGCTCTGTCATCAGGAGAGAGCTCAACACATTCACTGGGAGAAGTCTCTGGGATCAGAGGCTCTGCTGGCCAGGCTGTGACAGCCCAACCCCTCATTAGGGAGAGAGGAGCTCGGCTACCGAGAGCTGAGCTCTCTTGGAGTGAAGAATCTTCAGCTGTATACAGTAGATTTTCTTTAATGGACACATTACTTTAAACTAAGCCTTCACCATCTGTTCCAGTCCCTAATTATCAATACAAAAACAAACGTCTACTCACAATTACACTCGTAACAAGTAAAGATGCCAGCAATTAGAATGCACCAGCTTCCCTGTACCGAGCAGCGCTTCCATCTGGGATGGCACTCGTGTGATCCAGGCAGGGAGGACTTGCTGCTGTCCCAGGCTCCCCACACCCTCCTGGGCAAACCTGGTCAGAGACGATGCCTGCGGCAGGATAAGCTGCGCCTCAGAGGAGTGAAGGATGGGCTGGCATCCTTCCAACAGCAAGGAAAAAATAAGTTATTTGGGCGAGAATAGCCTTCATCTCACACCAGCTGATGCCGTCTTGCAAACCACTCTTCCCGCAGGAATGAAGCCTCTTCCAGAAAAACCTTTCTGAACTGTCCAAAATGAAGCAGAACTTATTTCCCAAAACTCCCAGCCTGAAACCCATATTTCAGACCTCCCAACAGCAGGTTCTTGCCGATCATGCCATGAGAAGGTGCCACTTCTTCCTAGAAAGGGGTGGGGTCTGGCTGCAGGCAGAGACACATAAAGGAAGACACATAAAGGGTCAACCCAAACTAACCCAACCTGATCATGTTTTGATGCTGTTATCTGGAAAGAAAGAGGTACAACAACAAATTTTCTGCTCAGGGAGGCCGCAAAGACACTTCTGCAAGTGCATCGCTCCCCAGTAATTGCCTCGGGTCCCTCTCCCAAAGCAAGGAACAGCAGCTCTCTCCCTCCTGCAAGAAGATAACG